TATTTGTTATATTGTTAATTTTTGATATATTGTTATTAATAAAAATTTTATATAATTAGTAGTGGATAATTATGTGTTAACTTCTTCTTAAAATGTAATTTTAAAAATATAAATAAGATTGCATTAATATATAGCAAAACATGATTAATATTTGTAATTATATTTACTGGCTAAAGTTAAGCTTTCACTCTTAGTTTAGTTTTATTATGATTGAGGGCAATTTAAAATATTTGCATTGTTGAGTTTAATATATATATAAATCTAATCTACAACCTTCATCCCCATTATTAATCCACAACTTTGGATCCCACTTTATTTAATCTATTACAATTAACACTAAGCTTACAAATATATAACTAAACTTAAACCATTATTTCATGATCAATACTTTATTCAGATTTTATTTAATATAAATAAATTTATTAAAATAGTAATATAAATAAATTTATTATAATAGTAATATAAATAAAATTATTATAATAGTAATATAAATAAATTTATTATAATAGTAATATAAAAATTTAAGAATTTTTAAATTTATCCCTAATGATTTTAGATTCCTGTGAGCTTGAGTTGTTTTCCCTGCTTGCCAAAAAAGGTCTTGTTGTAAGGTTAGCCAATGTAGGATCTGTATTGATGATAATATAATTTTAAAAATATATATAAATATGATTTTTTATATATATAAATATGATTTTTTATATATATAAATATGATTTTTTATATATATATTTAAATTTAAATATGGTTATTACCTATATCATCCATGGAAGCTGATCCTTCTTTGTTGATAATAATGTTATGTAGGGTGCAAATAGCCTTTATCACCATCTCTATGCTAGGTAGTCCTATTTCTATTGGCTTACTTAGAATGTCAAATTTTTTGACTATTCCACGCTTCTTTCTACACTTACTCGAGCATGGCACAGCCTCATGTTAAATTCCCTTTCTTCTGTTGTGAGATTTCTTTTGGGGTAGGGCTTCATCAGATTTGATAAAGGGAATGCATCATCCCCAACCATTACAAATGGCATGGCCTCATTACAACCTGGAAATGGTTTGGGAGCAGGCATATCAAGTGTATGGTTCATCAATTCTATTAATATATTTCTAAGATATAATAAAATTAATATAAAGTAACCTCTATATTAAGAGCTATTTCTAAAAACACCACCATCACTTTGCTTTCCATATGCACCCACATCTATATAAATAAATCTCCTGTTAATATCTGTTAGGGCTAACAGGTTAATAGAAAATCTATGCTTATAGTTATAAAATTGTGAGCCACTATTGGGAGGGCTCTTGATATATATATGCTTTCCATCTATAGCCCCAATACAATTTGGGAATCCTGATTGAAGCAGGAATTCCTGGGAAATCTAAAGATAAGTAAATATTAATCTTGATTTATTATAATAAATTTACTTTTTCCCAATCATTTTTATTAGGCTTAGGCATGTGAATATGTGCAGCAGCATTCCAAATTGCTGTGCACACTGATTTCACAATATAACTTATACAGGATTTTGAGATCCTTGAGCTATAAGCTAGTTGAGCAAATGATACACCAGTTATTAAATACCTATTATATAAATAATTAATAATAAATTAAATTTATTTTACCTTAAGGTAACAAACAATCGATTCTCAGCATCGATTTGTTTGTTACAATTAGTAACTTTCGGATTAATGTCCTCATATATGAGCTCCAGTATATAAGAAAATGTTGATCTTCTCATTCTTGTATAGTTATAAAATTGCGAATGTGTTAAATCGCCTTTAATATTAATATATTCTGAAAAAAGATTTCTTTTAACAAATATTTTGGATGTCTTGCTCTTCTTCCTTCCTTATTTCTTTGTAGTAAATACAAAGCAAGTAATTTTTTTTGTTTTAAATTTAAATTTTTCATATTGAAAAAATAAAAGTTAACGCATCAATTTATACATGGCTGCGTTTACGTTTTTTTATATGCGTTTTGAAACGCTGCGTTGCAACGCACAATTTCCAATGATTAATTTGCCGCAAGAAGCTGGGAAATATTGTGTTTTGTTATATTGTTAGAAGGGAATCAAAACACCTTTATGCCTCGAATAATAACCTTGCAGCAAAAAGTTGAGAAAAGCCTGGAGCTTGCTGTAGTTGTGCCTTCAATGATCACGATTCAGGAAGAAGTTGAGGAATTTTTATTGGGCAGCTCAGATTTACTATTTTAGAATTTTTTAGATCTAATAATTATCTATTGTAGCTGATAACATAACTCTGAAACTTTACCAATACCATTTAATAACATTCAATCCTAATATGAAGCATAATTTATTATATTCAAATAAATATCTATATATACACCATCATCGGATTTTTATCATTGTTTTAAGAGGTTAATTATTAAATATAAAGTTTACAATAGCACTTATAACTATCCACACGAATCTGAGGAAGAGCATTATGTAATTTTAGTAGTGATGAATAAATTTAAAGAACGGATTTGAGCATATCTCTATCAAAGCAAATGGTATGTATATTGGAAAAATGTAAATCTTGTTCACATCTAGTCTAATGTTTCCTGTCTGTATAATATTCAATGAGATCCCCCTTGCCTCTTATAAATTCATATATCTAATTATATAGCATGTATAAATTAACACTAGATAATAAAACAATTTTTAATTTGATATGAATTATTGATATTCTCTACATATGAACTACTCAAATGCCTTGCGAATGCTGAACAAATTGTTTATAAATTTTAAAAAAGGAAGACAAACAAGAAAATTAGATGATGCCTTATGATAATTAATCAATTTCCGAAGTATGATGGGACACTGATTCATCAGGATTGAAGAAATAGGAGAACCAGATTTTGAAAAAAAAAATTTTTGACCAAATTTTACCTAATACCAAAAAATTTTTAAATAAAAAACCCATCAAGCTGAAAAATATTTTAAATTTGAAGTTTTTTTTTCACACTCTGAGGAAGACAAAAATACCTGTACAAATATTAAATATAAATTCTAAACCAAAATTTCCTAATTCATTTTAAAAATTGATTTGATAAGAAATTATAATCCCAACAAATATCGCTAAAATTTATGAAGAAAAGTAGTTTCAGAACTGAAAAAAAACATGGTGACTATAATTTTGATAGGTCCCTCTTGATTGACGTATCTTGCAATTTTGATTTCTATCTTCATCAGTTTTTACACTGCATACCCCATTGATTGGGTAGGGAAGTAACATAAATTGCTTAATATATCAACTGTATAACAAGTAATGTGTAAAATTTTTAAAATATCAAACCTGTGATATGACTTGCTCATCATAGGTGATTGTTGTCTTAGCAGCATATAGATGGGTCATATCTAAAAATTGGCGAATTAGGATCAACCTACAGGCGAATGCAGAACTCTAGTATTTAAGCTCGAGTTAATTAAAAAAATTTTCTTTTCTTCTAGGCTGAGCTATATTTATATAATAGTTTTTTCGGCTAAACGCATTTTTACCGACATTTATAAAATCTATTATAGAATTTAAAGGTGCACTGATATATATCGATAAAGGTGACACTAGTCTCTGTTGTAAATTATGTAAAATTGTGTTTTGTTATGCAAATTGTTTTAGTTTTTTTTGACATAAAATGTACATTAAGGGTTAATTTATAATTTTTTAATATTCATTTTCAAGTTAATGGTTATATTATATTTTTTAACAAACCCTTTAGTATAAGAAATTAATTTTTGTAATATTCAGATTTTAGAAACGAAATTGTACTTTATTTTTTTTTAATTTAAAGATGAATTGGATGTTAAAGGATTAAAAAATTTGAATGGGATAAAAAAAAGAGCTATAAAGTATTGTTATACAAAATTATAATCACTATTTTTTTGTTGTAACTAAATTTTATCTTAATCATTTTGTATTTCACATTCATTGTATTCATTATATATTGTATCGTAAATAAATTAATTAATCTCAACATAGTATTACTTTCTCTAACACACACACACAATTCTTAAAAGTGACTATTTTCCATCATTTATGAATTATAATAATTTTTTTTACACGATAAACAAAAATTAATTTAATCTTTGAAATTTATAATTTATAAACTAATTTTTTGTATTAATTCTCTTCCACGAGATGGCGTATTTGAAATAAATTATCTAAAATAAACCTCAAGTAAATTATCTTAATATAATTTTGGGTTTTTTTTATGGCAATAATAAACTCTTTAGCATCAGCTAAGTGATACGAGTGAAAAAAAAGTTGAGTAATCGGTCTCTACCGATGTCAGCGCATCTCTATGCCCTGGTCCCCGATACATGCATAGCACAAGTCATTGTTCAACGCTAGCATTTTTTTCTCCTGGTAACCTGCTATTTTTTCTTTCGGCCATAAAATTAAAGCACTCCCATAGACATTGGAGAACTGGTTTCAATGTGCATATGCACCTAAAAATTGTGGATGATCTGCTCTCAAAGACATCCCCAATTTTTTTAAATCCAATTATATTTTTAAAAAAATTGAAATCTTATCGTATGATCAAAGAGGAAGAGAAATAAAAACCATTATTAACAAAAATAAGTTATTCATAAAAAAATATTTGTCCTCTTATCGATTGTTGATCTAAATCATATCTTATATAAATATTAAAAATTTCGTAATCATATGGAAAAAGAAAAAAGAAAGAAAAAAGGCAATTTAAATTTTATCGACATCACAACTAAATAATCTTTTTAGGTTAACTTTTAAGACTGTCTTATAAATGTCCGATATAGTATAATTTAAAAAAAAAAAAACTTTAAGCCCATATTAAATCATGAGAAAGAAATAATTAGGAAATGAATGAATGAAAGAGTGCTAAGGAAAACAAATATTGTTTTCCAATTTTAATTTCTCCAACCATTATTAAAAAGCGTGAATTAAACAAATCTTGTCTGCTTTTTTTAAAAAAATTAATAAATAACATTATACCATATTTTTTCGCAAATCATAAGCTTTCCTACGGTGCAAGTTCTCCCGCTCTATCGAATCGCAAACGATTTCCTACCTTTTTCCGCACCCATCCATCCCAAGCGCTGCATAACCCAACTAGGGTGGTGTTGTTTAAGAAATACGGCTGGAAAAGAATCGCCATTTTGCAAGAGCTACAGGAATTGTTCACCTCTGTATATTTAAAGCTCATTTAAGATTAAAAATCATATATTGTTTGACTTTATTTATCATTAAAATATTTTTAAAACGTTTTCTCCAAAATAATAAGCTTCCCTAACACTTTATATTAGTGAAACATTTTATTTAATAACGGTAATTTTAAATTTAGGAAATTCATATAAAGATAATTAATTTAAAAAAAATCTATGACATATTTTTTAAAAGCAACTTGAGAAACTAATTCTCTAATTTAGCGTTGCATTTTCCAATATGTAACTCTTTACAGTTATTTTGGATCACCAAAATGTAATTACTTTAAAACACTAATAAATAACAATGAAAAAATTCCATAAATGTTTGCAAAGACTTTTTACCTTTTTATAAAAGAATTAGTCCTATTTATAACTTAACCCATTCTAATCGGAAGTAGCTGACAGGGTCTCTCATAGATTTTTGGAAATAGGGAGGATTTTAGATATTATATCCATATAGTACTTTTTTTAGAAAACTAGTCTTCCCTTTCCGCCAGGTTTAAAACTACAGCACTAGTTTATATATTTAAAATTTTGACAAGTCTTTGTTCTTTACATAATATAAATGGAGATTATGTCAATCAAAATAATATCTTGTTAACTTCCCATCAAATAATAGACCGCCGAAGATTTGGAGCATAGGCTCAAAATGGCTGGAATGGAGGTCATGACTCGCCAAAGCTTTATATCGGATCCGGTTGACGCCGTTAAAAATCTGAAGCGGCAAGACGCCCGAATTATAGTGGGGATATTTTACGACAATTACGCTCAGCAAGTCTTCTGCGAGGTATTATTAAATGTTTAAGGGATATGTACAATTTTTAGATTTATTTAATGACTTAAATCGAATTAGAATTTTATTTAAACAACAACAAAAAAAAATCACAGGTTTACAAACATAAACTATACGGCAAAAAATACGTTTGGTTTATCCTGGGTTGGTATGCTGATAATTGGTTCGAGGACGCGGAGAAGAACACGAATTGTACAACCGAACAGCTGGTCTTAGCTCTGAATAATCATTTTACCATAGAGAGTCTCATGCTTAATCAAGACGATACCGTTACGGTGTCCGGAATGGTTATTTATTGATTTCTTTTATATAAAAAATTATTTTTATATCATCCATCATTCACCTATTTCTGTCTGGTATATGTGTAGAGCTAAGTTAATCAAAAACAATTTTTTTTTGATTCATATAAAAATGTAAGTTTTGAAATTTCTCAATTTTTTTTTTGTTTTGATTCCAAGACATTCATTGAATTATCATTCCCATGGATCAAAGCTTCCACTAATTGTTGATGCCTGGGAAAGCTACCAATCTGAAGTAGAGAAAAAGATATCCTATCTTCTTGTTTTATTTTTTTTTCCACATTTCGTTAATTAATTCGTTTCTTTCCATCGTTTTTTTTATATATTAATAAAGAAGCTATGATTCTTAACGACTAAGTTATCATTTTTAGATCTTTTAAAATTTAAAAAGTTCTTCACTGGGAAATTCTCACTAATAATTAAATTTAAAAATATTATTTATTTAATAAACTCATTCAATGTTTTACAAGATAAAGTACTGATATAAGATATGTGTTCTAACTATCACCTTCTAAACTTCGAAATCTTATATTATATAATTCGCAGACCGCCAATACTTTCCTCTCTAAGCTAAAGTCCCATTTCAAAGCTCGCAATATCGAACCCTCAACTGTTTCGGGCTTGGCCGAAGCTCCTCTAGCATATGATGCTGTTTGGGCTCTGGCATTCGCTTTGAATAAAACCATGCGCAAGCTGGAAACACGGCCTGGACCGCGAATTTACATGGAGAATTTTACGTACACTGACGAATACATCAGAAATCTCGTGTACCAATCCATGAGTGATACCAAATTTTTTGGAGTTTCGGTTTGAAAATCATTATTATATTTAATATATACTTTACTCAAAAACCCCCACAATTCTTCGCCAATATAGAATGGTAGATGCTCTATTTAAATCGCACCTAAATGCTTAGCGGATTTTCTTCCGCACGAGTCTATGGACTAAATTTGCCAACCTTTCAAATCCATGATACTCATTAATCTAGCACTCCTATTTTTTATGCTATGTCCAAAATATCAGAATTTTTTTTTTTAGAAAAATTTTATCAATAAACATGAAATAAGCGCATGCACTTTATATTTTTTTTAAATAGAAAAATAAAAAAACATATGGCCAAAATATATTTTTTAAAAATTTTCAGCTTTAATCATTAGATTTCTTTAAAAAAAAAATCTTAAAGTTTTGAAAATTTTTGATACAGATTTTGGGTGCGCATAAAAAAGAAAAAAATAATAATTTAAAATGTGGATCTCTTTGTTTTATAATGCATCCTAGATTATTTTGTTTACCACAAACTCAACTTATTAATTTTAAAAGCAACCATAATATTTATTTATTTATTTTTTTTTGGGGGGGGGGGGAGGGTTATTGTTCCCAAATAATGATAATTATGTCATTTATAACCAGAACGAATCCTTAGTTCGTCTTCTAAAAATGACTGATTCATTATATCTGAAATAAACTAAATGTAATCTAGGTAAAGTATAATGTGCATATAACGTTTCCACTTAACGGTTGAGTTCAAGTCGGATTTACCTCCCCCCCTCCCCCTTAAATTATTGCTCTCTCCTCATTTCAGATGCTTTTTTAATAAACAAGATTTTGACAAAAAACTGTCGTATATAGCTGACGAGCAGATTAATAAACAGTTATACCCTACGTATATTCAGGATTGGGCACGTTACCTCTAAAATTTTAGTGGATACCATTATTCAAGGGAAAAAATATAACGGTTAAATTACTCACGTTACTTCAAAAAAAGTTAACGGTTACGTTACTATTATTCAGAACATTTAATTACATGAACATTTGATTTTTAATAATTTATTTTACTGCAAGTTCATTATTGGGGGAGGGGTGCATTAATGGGCCTTCATACCTTTTCCCCGGTATTCGGCTGGGTTTACCCTAAAAATAATGTTTCTATCCACTTTTTTTTATGCAGGAAATTCTTAGAAATATTATCATCCATTTTAATTTAAATAACACAAAATTTATGCATTTTCTTAATATAACTTATGTAATTTCCTTATATAACTTATAAACTTTAATGATTACTTATTAATGTTAATTTACTTATCGTGTTCTAAATTTTTTATCAATTTTGAGGTCAACGTAACCTGTATCTTTTTGCCCAACCCTGTGTATATACTGTTATATAGAAGTTTACAAATATTATATAATAATCAATATATAAATATTAAAATAAAATAGGGTTTGCTAACATTCACAGACAGCGGGGATCGAATAGCTTGGACCATGCTCGAACAAATGATTAGTTAAAATACCAATTTATATTAAACATATAGTAGCAAAGTTTGGTTCTTTTTTTATAATACTCATTTTTATTTATTTTTTATTCTCGAAAATAATTAATTTTATTTTTTTTTGAAAATGATATTTTTTTCATAAATGATTATAAAATATTTACGCGCTATTAGAGCTACTTTTTACGCTATTTTGAATTTTTTTAATAAATTTTTTACTTATCTTTATTTCCCCAAATTAAAAAAAAAATATTGGTATGAAAATATGACTTAAAATTTCAAATATATATGTTATTTTTTTTTGCATTTCAATGATAATAAACATTTCCATACTGTCATCCCCAAGTCTAGAATGATCAGAAAGTATAAGCTTTAATTAACTAATCGTTCAACACTGGCAGAATCACACTGTGAATTGGTGTATCTGATATGATATGTAAATATAAATTAATAACAATTGCAGGTACCTGGCAAGTTTTAAATTTATATCACCAACTATGCTTCCAGGTATTGACAAATAATCACGCTTTGAATTGGTATATCTTATATGATATTTAAATATAAAATATTAACAATTATTTGTTATAACCTAGCAAATTCTAAATTTATATCACCAACTAAGTTACCATATCTTGTTAAAGAATAAAACTATAAATTGGTGTATTTTTTTTGGTACAAAGCTGGAAGCTTAGGTGGTTATATAAATTTAGTCGGGTAACTAATAATTGCTAATATAAATTTCATGATATATACCAATTCACAGCGTAATTCTTTGTCCATGCCTGGAAGCGGTGGTGACTGGTGATATAAATTTGGACTTGCCAAATAACTAATAATTGTTACTAATTTATTTTGAAATATCAGATCAAATGCACCTATTCACAGCGTGATTCTTTGCTCAGACTTGGTAGTTTATGCGGTGATATAAATTCAAAGATATATTTTAAAAAAGTTTTTCATTATATATTTTTTTTACAAATTAAATATAAAATGTAAAATTTTATATTATAAAAACTTGTAATATTATGAGCGAATATTATGAACAAAAGAATGAACATATTTTGTTAATAAATAAATAGGGATATCCTTATGTATTTGGAATCTTCATAAAATTTATATTCTAATGATAAATAACTTATTCGATATATGTATCATTAGACTGCAAATTTTATGGGGATTCCATATATATAAGGATATCCCTCAGGCGCGTAACCAATGGGGGGGGGAAGGGGGAAATTGCCCCCCCCATTGCAAATTTGACTGTTTTCATAAATATCACTTTAAGCTAATAAAAATTTTGCCCCACCCTCCCCCCCCCAATCAAAATTTTACAAATATTTGAATATCAATTTTCCAACTTATTATTCAAAAATATTTAGTCAAAGAGTTGAAATCAAACGATAATTTATTTTATTATTATATATATTTATTTTATTAAATTCAAAATTATTAGTGAGTTAGAATTAATAAGTATTTTTAATAATATTTTATAAATATCTATATTTAAATATATTTCAATTTTACTTCCATTTCGTAGAACAGAAGAAATAGAAATACAAAAGTTAAATAAGGCTGAGCATGAAAAAAAGTAATGTGTCGTCAGAAGCGATATCATTATTGAATTCAATTGATCAATCAGAGTTTATCATTGCTGCTAGTTGCATCAATAAATTATTTTTAGCTCACTACTTTGTATAAATTTACAAAAACCAAATTTAGATTTGGTTCAGGTTATTGATTTGGTGGGAAATATATATCAACAGGTAGATACAATAAGAATGAATGTAGATAATTATTTACATAATATTTATCTAGACGTTAAATCGAAGGCTAAATTTTATGATATAACGCTTATTAAACCTCGTCTAGCATCTAGGTCATTATTGAGATGTAAAATAAATATTGGCTCAACTGAAGAATATTATAAAATATCCATTTTTATCCCATTTTTAGATACTTTTTTATCGCAAATAAAAGGACGGTTTTTAGATAAAAAACAAGTCTTTAGCAATCTTCAAGTTTTATTACCCAAAGATCCTTCTTCGTTTTCTAATGCCACTATTGGTATTTATTTCTATGATATAGATACTAAAATAAATTTAATCAGTGAATTCGAATTGTGGTATAAATATTTACTACGTTTAGCTATTTTACCTGAGCATGCTATTGATGCGCTCAATCGGTGTAAAGAAACTTTGGCTCAATTTCCTAATATTTTGAAGTTGTTTTATATTCTTGCATGTTTTCCTATTACAACATGTACGAATGAAAAGACTTTTTCCAACTTGAGAAGGTTGAAAACATATTTACTACTTCCGAATCTCGGCTAAATGGGTTAGCTCTGTTAAATATCCACAGATATTTGGTCCCGACGACAAACGAAATTCTTGATGAATTGGCAACATTCCCACGATTAAAAATCTTATTATAATTATAGTATTTAATAAAATTTTTTGTATATTATTGTATTTGATAAGAAGTTAAAAAAAACTTGTTTTTTTAATTATTTTTTAGTCAATATTTTATACACACTACTATTAGTATTTTCAATAAAAAAAATTATATTCTACTTATATTGTATGAGAATTTAAACTGAGGCTAGTTTTTAAAGCAAATTTTATAAAAAAAATGACATTAAACTTTATGTCAACTTTACATTTAAAAAATTTTTAATAAATATAATATACCTAACAAATAATAAAAAATAGGCTTGTAATATCCATAAGCACGAATTAGTAAATAATAGTTAAAAATAGAAATATAATTATTATAGAATAGCAAAAATATAACTTTCTCCCGGCCTTGTAAAAGGGGTTTGGGGGCGAATTCCCCCAAAAAATTCCCCCCCCCCCTATAAGAAAATCCTGGATACGCCACTGATATCATTTATTTATTAACAAAATATATTCATTCTTTTACACATAATATTTGCTTAAAATGTTACAAGTTTTTACATATAAAAAAAATTATAATCAAAATATTTTGCTATAATATAAATATATTATAAATGAGTGAATAGATTAAATAATGATATAGATTAATAATTAAAAAATCTTTGATTAAATTTATAAGAAAAATCAACAAAAAGAGAATTTCATATTATAATCATTTTCGGGAAATTTGTCGATATGATTTGTACCATTTCTTAAATATCAATCTATATCGTCGACATTTTAAATTTTAGATTATTTTGAAAACTAGATTTATAATGCAAATTTTTAAATATAAATTTCAAAATTAGATTAAATAAAAAGAATATGATTATAAATTAATTATAAATATTATTTTAATAATTTCTATGTGTATTTATGCTAGCTACCGCTATAGCTATTTTTATCTTAAATTTGCATTTTACTCGAACTACCTACATACAGGACTTAACAAGAAGTATAAAGAAAATTTCCCTATGTGCTATTATACCTTAGATTAAAAATATATTTATCGTTCTTTAAGACCGTTTTATTAAACAAGAAGTACAAAATAAAATCTTTCGAAAATTATAACACCATTTATTACATACAAAAATAAGTCATTGAATTGTATAGAGGAATAAAAAGTTTGACACCCTTTGTCGTCAATATAAAAGTAAGTAAAAAGCTAAGAATGGTCATATGACAATTTCCAAACCCTGCATAATATAGAACTCGTCTTTTAATAAGGTTTTTAAAAAAAGCGCGCTCTAATTTGAGCAAACATTTTTTTTTAAAATATAATATTAAATATATTTTTTAAGAAAAATTTATTAACTACCGTGATCCTCATGGAAAATGTATTCTGCCCATATTTTTTTTTTAAAATTATTAAAATTATTTTATAAAGCTCATTTGTAAAAAAAATGGAATTATATAATGTTAGAGTTGTTCAAATATTTCTTTAAAATATTTTTTTAGGCATTTTTTTTTGTTCAATTTCCACCTATATTTTTTATTATAAGTTTTTTTTAATATATATATTCCTTAGATAGAACATATCGCAAATTGGCATTCTATCACCAATATGATGAAAATTTAACCTGGTTAAAGAACGCGACTTGGGAAGGTAAGAAGTTCTACTTGTAATTTTTTTTTACCAACTCATATTTTATTATTCATTTTTGTTTGCAATTGAAATTATATAGATCGTTCAATTTTTTAACAATATATGATAACGGGGTTATAAGCCCGAGTTTGAAACCGATGCCTAGAGGACCCGGGACTAGAGCCCCTACCCGCTAAATTTTTAGGCCCAACCTTTAAAGGTTTTCCAAGAACTTTTTTAAACAAGAGTAAAATTATTTAAATGGTCCGATGAGAGATAAGTTTTTACATTTTTTAATAGCATTTTTTTTCACCTTGATAAAATATAGTTTCTAAATCAAAAATACATTTAAAAAATATTTGTCATTATATTCGGTCTATACCTAAAATTTTAACCGACAATGGTTGTACCACCCCCCCCCCCCCAACCGAATATGGTGTAAAAAAATTTTCCCTATTTTATTTTTAATTTATTTAAATAAATTATAAAATGAAATCAAATATATAAAAAAGATAATATGAAAAATAGTAGCTCATATAATGCGCTATTTTTTTGGAAAAAGTAGCTAGTAGTTGAAATAGCAAATTTTTAGGCCCGACCCACTTTCAATTTTTTACTAAGGTTGCCAGACGGTTTTAATTTTTTTTTAAATAAGCCTTATAACAAAATTATATTTTGTTGGACATGGGGAGTAGTTAGATTAAAAATTCTATACTTTATGATTATTACTCCTAAGAAATATCAGAATTCTTAAACTTATATACAAAAAGAAAATTTTTCCCTGCCTGGGCCTTTTAATTTTTGCCCAGTCCTATCCAAAAACGATTTTCAGACTTTACCTGGCCCATGGGCCGAGCCGAGTAACTGGTCGGGCATTGCAGATCTCTGGTAGCTAACGTGTTATATTTCAAAAGTAGAGTAAACCAGGCGCGTACACGGAAATTTGTGTGGGGAGGGGGGAGGGTTAAATAAAATAATTTATAAAAATTATTCTAGGAGTCATTTAGGAATAACTTAAGTTTTATAAAATTTATTAAGACAAGTGACTACTGTTGTTTACTGAATAAAACAGAATTTATTATATGATAAGATATAAAATATCTTGTTTTTTTGTTCTTTTAACAGTAATCTTGACTAAATATTTTTGTAGGTTCCGGTCCACCGTCTGATAGGACAACAATTTTGAAAAAAATGATGGTCATATCCCATAAACTTTTTGTTGGCATATGCGTCGGGTGCTTCTTATGCATATTACTTTGCGTTTCGTGTTTAGCTTTCAATCGCTTCTTCAGGAATAGAAAGTTATATTGGAAGGGGTGAGGGGGGGGGTTATTTAATTAATTTATTTTTTATTTGAATAATTATATTTTTTATTGTATCGAGAGAGAAAGATCAGGGAATTGATATTAAAATATCAGTAAATTATTTTATGTATCTTTTTAAAGTATTATAGACGCTTATATATAATATGATGTAGAGTCTTACCCTGCATTAACAGGTAGCACGAATTCTCGGCGAACAACTATAATTTGCCGCGAATTCGCGCTAACTATGAATGAGGGGTTAGGTTACACAGATCTGTCCGATTCGACTTAGAATCGGTCGAACTTGGAACAAATCATTAAAAAAAAGAAATTTCTCATTTTAAAATTCTCTTCAAGAAAAAATATCAAATAAGTGCATAAGTTTGAACTCTGATCTTTGTTATTATAAAATTAAAGTTGCAGGGAGTGCTAATTACATAAATGGAATTTGACTTAGTAAATAGCGTTTGTCCCAAACAAAATTTATCTTAATTCATTTCATAAGCCACATCAATTTTAACCCCCAAAATTTTAATATACTTAGAATTATATCTCAATCGGCTCCTTACTTCAATGATATGATGCTGGTTGGAAACGTCATGTGTTTAGTTGCCGCTATGATGTTCGGTTTGGATGGAAGATTATTCCCGCTTTATTACGAAAAAATTTGCCGAGTTTTATTAATTTTTTATTCGAGAAAATATTTTTTATATTTGGTCGCGAGGTCCTTAATATTTAAACTACCAGCTCAAGGATTGAATCTACTGGATTTAAAATTCAGAGGAGAAAATATATAAGAACTTAGAGTTATATGTGTAAGTTTATTTCATCATCATACGGTCAAGCGCGATCTATCGAATGTTACAATATACAATATAATATGCATATCTACCCAAGACAATTAAAAAAAGTACATTATAATAATATGGCAATTGCTACATTTCCCTCCAATTTAACATGACTAAATTTCCTCTAACAAACAACGTCTTGTCCGATGATGCTATTTGTGATGTTTGGGGATATTAAATTATAATATAGTTGATATTATAATTATAATATAGTCATTAAAAGAAGTTAATTGTAGTTATTTGTTTTAAATAGGATTAGTGTACTTCAGTATATTATTATTATTATTTTAATTCAATATTATATTATTTTGCGCAATCGTTTTGTTAAAAAAAAAATTATTATATTATTAGTATTATTATTATTATTATTAAGTTGTATTGTGAATATAAAAAAAAAAAATAATAAAAAGTTAGTTATCGGGTTTTTGGAAAAATTTTCGTTATTAATTCTGGGAAGAAAATTTGTTGTTGATTTTTTTTGGTTGAGAGAAGTTATTGAAAAAGAAAAATTGGTGTATGTTTTAAAAAAGAAGAAATTAAAGTAAGACAAAAAAAATAATAAATATATTTGTTATAAAAAGTAAAATAAAAATAAATTAAAAGTAACCGACCAATTTTCATCTTGTAATATTTCTATAATTAGTAGAAATATCTGGGACCAATTTCTCTTTGTGGAAAACCGCTTTTATTATTGTAATTGCTCGTATTGCACTCCCCTTTATTATGCTCAAATCGACCACAAGCCACACATCTTAATCTCTCCTGCTTATTTGGACAATACGGAGCTATATGTCCTAACTTTCCACACCCAAAACATTTTGCCTCACGGCATTCTCTGAGCATATGACCTGGTTTTCCACAATTATAACAACTCATTACTCCTCTTTCACGCGGCACAAAATTTTGTTTTATCTCTAATTTTCTCCCCCGAGAATTCTCTCTGGGCTCTCTATACGGTCGTAACTCTTGATTACTTTCGAAATAACGTTTATCAGAACTATATAAATCTCTACTAACATCACTATCCGTCCACCCCTTAATTAATTCCTGAACAGGTAGCCACGTAACTTTACCCATCATATCCTCCTCCCCATTATGCCCCTCAATTGTTAATGTTTGTCCCCTTATTCTTACGCTGCGACTCCTCAATCTCCTGCCCCAGACTAGACTACATACCCATATTAATAGTATAACCAGCGCTCCCAAAATGTTATATTGTATCTCCCAGTATTTAATAAATTTGAAACTTTTCATTCCGGCGTTACAAAAAATTTATAATTAATTTCAGGATAAAAATCTTAGTTATCTGTAATGTTAGCAAATAGGATATTATTAATAGCGTAAATAAGCCAATTATGCACATATACATGCACACTCTATATGTTAATATTTGACAAAATCTGTGTAAATTTCCTGTAACAGTTTTATATCAGCCAAAATTTGGGCAGCACTCCCGTGTAACCGCTTATTCTAAAATTTGCGCGAATTTCCTACTAATAGATTTATCTAGGCCAAAATTTGGGCAGCACTTCCGTGTAATTGATGCTTTTGGTAAAATTTCTGGTAAGCCAAAGTCTCAACTTAACAACTATATAACAGTAAACTTCTGCCCAACAGGTAATTAATTATTCCAATTAAACTTCTGTCCCACGGGTATAACCTAATAATTTTCCAAAATAACTTCCGTCCACAGATAATTTATACTGTCCACGGGTATAATTTAACTAATTTTCCAAAATAACTTCCGCCCACAGGTAATTTATACTGTCCACGGGTATAACCTAACTAATTTTCCAAAATAACTTCCGCCCACAGGTAATTTATACTGTTCACGGGTATAACCTAACTACTTTTCAAAATATAACAAGACTCGACTTGGCCACCACTTTAATATTTCTACTAATTATAGAAATATTACAAGATGAAAATTGGTCGGTTACTTTTAATTTATTTTTATTTTACTTTTTACAACAAATATATTTATTATTTTTTTTGTCTTACTTTAATTTCTTCTTTTTTAAAACATACACCAATTTTTCTTTTTCAATAATTTCTCTCAACCAAAAAAATCAACAACAAATTTTCTTCCTAGAATTAATAACGAAAATTTTTCCAAAAACCCGATAACTAACTTTTTATTATGTTTTTTTTTATCAATACAACTTAATAATAATAATAATACTAATAATATAATAATTATTTTTTTTAACAAAACGATTGCGCAAAATAATATAATATTGAATTAAAATAATAATAATAATATACTGAAGTACACTAATCCTATTTAAAACAAAAAACTACAATTAACTTCTTTTAATGACTATATTATAATTATACTATCAACTATATTATAATTTAATATCCCCAAACATCACCCTATTAAATTTTCTGATCGGTTTTTATCTAGCTTGTTAACGGTTTCCACTTCCCTTTCATCGGTCATCTCATCTGTAAATGATATCGCTAATGCAGAAGAGTTGACTTTATTATCATTCAGTATTGCTACTGCCATTGAGTCGACTTCGCTATCATTCTTCATTTCAAAGGACTCTTACATCTAAATCACTCTTGAATTGGCATTTATATGCAATATTCTTACTCACAGAACTTACTTCATTTTCTCCTCTTTAATCTACTAAATCAATCTTTGAACTAAAGAATACAGCTGGGGGTTTAAATACTAAGATGCAGATTTCTTTTACCTTTACAAAGGCCAATTGTGATACATTATTATTCGGATATGCATAATTTTTAATTTGCACTATTCTTTTGATCCTGAAATAAGCCATTATAATCTTCATTTTTTGGTTCTTATTGCCCTAATCTTTAATTAATGATTATTTTATCTCCTTTATTAATTCTTATTATTTTTGAAAACTGCTATCTCAAATATTTTTAGCCAAAATTAAATTACCCTAAACTTGGAAGATTTTTTTACTACAGTTGCCACAAAGGTTTAGACATATACTAAAATTTTGAGGCCTATGTAATAATGTATTGGCTAAAATTTTGATTTGGCCCATTTTTAAAAACACTAGTTGCTATAATATCAAATATAGTTGTGCATAAAAAAAGTTAATTTTTTAAAAATTGATGTTTATTTACTCTGTTCTGTTTCTAAAAGTTAGTTTTCATTTTTGTCGGACTCATAAATTTATATCGTCGGCTGAATAATGTAGTGGTCTATATCCATCAAAAAAAAAATTGTTTTAGGAGAGCATTTTTTTAAAAAAACACGTATTTATTTCTTTGCATTTAAATAGGAGATCACACCTTTAATAATGCAAATAAAGGATTATTCTCAATTATATTTCATCATTTTTATTGAGGAGTGTTGTTAAACGGCTCGATTTTTAAAAACGGTTAATCCAAAAAAATTACCCAAGTTTCGAGATTTGGTTAATAGATGTTCAACCTTTTCTGCTATCTATGAGCAAAATCTCCGGGCTTGGTTAGCCGTTTAACATCACTATGAATATACATAATAATATATACGCTGTTGCAGAAAAAAAAGTGAACACTCTAATTCTCAGCCGACGATATATTTTTAAAATAAAAATTATATCATTTTCATATTTATTTATAAAGATAAAAGTAATTTATTTCTTCGAATGAAAAAAGAAAAATATCAAATTTTGATTAAAATATTTTTTATTTTAACAAATTTCAATTTCCGTAGGGGAGATTGTGGTTATTGAGTTTGGGATTTTCGTTAGCTTATGGTTCTCTGTTTACCAAAGTGCTTAAGGTCCAAGCTTTGAAAGCTGCCATCAAAAAAGATAATAAAGTTAATATTCACTTATTTTTTTTTTATAATACAGGCCAGGCTTATTCCTATTCGGGGCTAGGTTGGGGCTTAAATTTTTTTAAATATAATATTCCATATTGTGAAATATAAAATTGATATATTTTAAAATTTTTGTAAGATCATTAATTGGGTATATCGTGTGTCTTTTATTTTTATAGTTCTGGTAAGGAATTTTATATAAATTATTGAGTGTCTTTATTTAAAAAAAGAGATAAATAGATTAAGCACACAATATAATGACAACTAACTAAGCCCGAATGCCTGATAAGATTCTTAGTTATCTTGAAGTTATTAATTCCTCTTATTATTCAAAATGCGTATTTTCACCATTTTTATAGGTCAATTTATTTTTAATTCTATTCATTTTTATTTATTTTTAAAAAAAAAGACTATTAGTCAATTGATCAAACATAGGCACAAACAAGTCGTCGATTTCATAGTATCCAAAAAGGGGTCGGGTATCGAAATTAACTTTTTGGTCGAAGTAAATCCTTGACGTGATTTTGTTTATCGTTACATATTATGTTTCTTCAGCTTTTAGGTCGCACGCTTTACTAAATATTAAGTAGTTCCCTTCTCAATTATTATTACCCAATTTGTATCAAGATCATACCCTATATATAAGGTTTTTAAATAGTGAAGACCAAAACCGAAACTGAACCGATACGGATATCGAATAACCAGATCGAATTAATTTTTTTTGTTTAAAAATTTTGCAAAACCTCAATTTGACCTGGGATCAGGAGCTAACTAAAGGTTGTCTTGACTAAGTTTTTTAAAACTATTTTTGATTAGAAAAATGGCATTTTTTTATTTTGGTTTTCTTATTCTTTTTTTTAGTAAAGAATGCACTTTTCTAATAAATTTTTTTTTGCTATTGGTCAGTTTTTTTAAGTGATATGTCTTTATTATTTTTGCATTTTTTTCTTCCAGGCATATCACCATTAAGTTATTACTTTAGGGAGTTTGGTCAATAATTATATTTTACAGATATTACAGGACCGTTGACCTATTTAATTTCGAAGCTTTTTTTTGAAATAAAAGCCCTTGTCTCATGACCACCCAATAAAAGAAAGAGTGCCGTTTAAGATTGGCGTAATTTTCAAATTCTAGAAACATGAAGTAGAAACACTTTTCAAGATTTTAGGAACAGGAAACAGAACCACTTTTTTAAAAAAAAGAAGATTCAACCGGAACTAAAACCCTCTTTCTTCCAGGTTCTAAAAATTGGGATATGTAATAGGATCAATTAACCCTGAAAATAAAGGCAATTGTGTACCATTTATGTGTTTATATCAATTTGTCAAAGATATCTAAACTTGTCGAAAAAATTATTTATTGTTTTCACCACCATCACAGGATTATTATTTTTTTGCACAGAAAATATTGATTTTTCAAAAAATGAGATTGTTTCAAAGATAGAATGATAAATAAAGAAAAACAAATTTCATTGCCATACGATCCAAGGAATATTATATAACATAACGTATAAAACATTAAAATCATGTAAAATTATTGCGAAGAATCCCACTCAACCCATTTTTCCAATGAACTTATGTGGCCAATTAATTTCCATGAGTGATATTTTAATATTTATTATTCTAGCCAAGCGATAATTGGAAATACAATCTTTGTGTACCGACATTCTTAGCCTTAGACATACTTTTTCTGATAATTTGGAGACTGTTAGACCCCTTATACAAGTCGCTCAAAGATTTCCCCATGATAGTAATAGTAAATCGTGACGATGAATTCAAGATACTGCCTCAGTTAGAAATTTGTTCCTGCCGTAAACTCGGCATTTGGTTATGTAAGTTTCATTATATTTTATTAAAAAATATTTATTTGTTTGATGGGGGTAAAGTAAAAAAAATTTTAAAATTGTTGAAGGTAAAATTATATTTTTTTTCCTTCTTCTTTATACATTTAACCAACTACTATTTGTAATTATTAACAGATTTGTGGAACCGGAGTGAATAAGGAAGCCATAGCCCCTCTTTCTGTTAAAAATCTATAGGAGTTAGGAACCAGAACTCCACTTTCCCTAGAATTCTCTAAGAAACGAAACCGTTATTAAAGAAGATGGAACCCACTGAACTAGATCTAATCTTATAACCGGAAACGAAAACCTCTTTAAAAAATTTTTTTAGAAATCAAGAACCGACTCTAAGAAAAATAATAAATCAAAACTTTTTTTAGTCCGGTTGTGCCAAACACTTTGATATATATCATTTTTAAATCTGTAGCATATCATTAAGAACTTAACGAGTATAACTGGGATCTCTGTTAGACATTTGATCATTATCCTGGATTATATTTCGGCATTAATGTAATTCCCAAATTTCCATGATTTATTTTCGTCATTAACTATATGGCCATCTTAAATTATTTTGCATTTATAGTGTTCCCAAATTGAGTAACTTATTTCAAAGCTTCATTCTTGAAATTGTTTCAACATGATTCCATTCCAATTAGTTTTTCTCAGGGTTGTGAACTCTCCTTCTTTAAAAGGGTTGCAGTTTGTGTTCTTGTTAGGTGAAATATCTCTGAACCAGGTTCAGGGTTCAGAAAAATAAGGATTTATAAAATTTTAGTAAAAGTAACAGAAACATCAGTTTTTTTTATAAACTTTATTTTTACTATATTTCGCCCTTACTATAAAAATAATTTATCATTATGATTGAAATATAATCGAATTTTAATATCCTCATACTAATAATTTTCAGCCTTTGAAAAAAATGGTGTTTTACGTTTTAAATAATTTGCATGTTCTTTTATATGGTAATATATTCTTTAAATAAATAGAAATTTAGTATTTTAAATATAAAGTTATTGAACTCTGAACCCTAAATTTTGAAAAAGGGTTTGGGTTCCATAAAATATTGAGGGTTCGGGTTATGGTTCACGGCCCTGGTTTTTCTCCTCGTTTAGTTTTATTTGTTGCCACTAGACACTATTTTAGTATGGTTAGGTGAGATCGCATAAGTTTGGGTTAACATTTTTTTAAGGTCTGCCATGCTTAGAAACGACTGATAGGCTTGTGGAGGGCAATTGAAAATTGGATATATATTAGTTAGAAAACCTATATAAATGGTGCGCTTTTCGATCACTGCATATACTGGAGTTTTTTATGTAGATATAAGTTGTTGTTTTTAGTTACACTTGATAAGTAGTTTGAAAGGTATAAAATCCAGGAAAGTTTTTTTTGGCTTAAAAGACTATCAAAACACTAATGAAAGAATAGCAAGATGCATGGCTTTTTGATAACTTAATTTTTAGGTTCGAAAGATACAATTTTAAATGTTAGTTTCAACGATTTTTTTTAAAATAATCAATCACGTTTGGTTTGATTATGAGTATAGGGTTTTCAGCTTTATCTGGGTTGGATATTTATTTATGAGGTTTTTTTTAAAAATAATTATTATATAATAAATATTCATTATATAGTTAATATTATTATTTTTTAAAGCCATTTTATACGGCATGAAGGGACTGATATTGATATTCGGACTTTTTTTGAGCTACGATACGCGTAAAGTGTTTATCAAACAAATCAATGATTCCAAATTGGCCGGCGTTGCGATATATAATATAGTGGTAATTTTTTTTAAAAATTTTTTATTATAAGTTAGTCTTCTCAAATAACATTTTATTTATAATATCACTTACTCGCTCTTAAAAATTTGTTTAAAGAAGACCACTAGCGGCAAAGCAAGCCCAAGGCTCACTTAAAAAAATATTCTTTTGTAGGTCATTTTAAAGCTTAAAAATCTCTTGGAGGCTTACCGCCTACCTTTCATATCGGTGTTGACGATTCATATCCCCTACCCATTTACATGGGGGTTAATTTAAACCAATAACATTGGTGAATTATAAGATGAGACCCGTTATCAAAAACGCAGGAAGAGTTTATAAATAACCGGTTATTTATTTTTAAAAGATTTTATGCGCCATAACGATCCCAATGACTATACTCATAGTTAACAATCACAACGCGAGTTTCGCATTTGTCGCCATAAGTTTATTAGCGTCTACCTTCCTCTCGACAGTTCTCATATTTTTCCCGAAGGTAAAAAAAAATTGACTCTTTAAATCATTTCTATAATATAATTTTACTAATCTACCTTTCTCTCGACAGTTCTCATATTTTTCCCGAAAGTAAAAGAAAATTGACTTATACAATTTTACTAATACATTTTTTTTTTTGAAAATATATATAAAAATTTAATATTGCGCAATTACAATAGGAAATTGTCTTATCTTGAAAATTTACTGTCCATTAATGATCACGGGTTTATGATTAATCTTCATGGATTATGTTTTGGAAAGCTGGAAATATATTACTTTATTTAAAAGTTTTATAAAAAATAATAATGCTAAAAATTGACTTAAATTATTAAAAATTTCGTGTTTTTTTTAATGAATAAAATTGTGACACCATTATTGATTAGAGCAAAATAAAATTGTCTAAATTTTTTTGTTATTTTAAAAATATTTTCGTTTCCCCTTAATTTAATTCTTTGTTTTATCATTTTATTAAATCTAAAAGTAATTTATATCGACAAACAATATCAAATCAAATAAGAATAAGAATAATATAATACAAATATATAATTTAAAGGTAAAATACCATTTTTGACAAACTTTTTCGTTTTCTTAATATATTGCAATAAAAATGTACAAAAATAAAAGAGAAAAAGAATTATAAAAAACTAAAGTAACTCCTCTAGAAAAATAATATAAAATATACACAAAAATAATTTTAAAAAAACCCACTGTGGTGAGTGTGGTACTTGTCATTGTTATAGTATACAAAAAAAATAATTATTTATTCGTAGTTAGATTTTATTTTATTGTTATTAGTAAATAAGAAAGAAAAGTGAGAAATAAAATTATAGTGAAAATAAAACATAGAATTATTGATCTACTAAAAGTATTTTTTTAAAAATAAAGGTTATAAAAACAATTACTATACAATATACCAGAAACAAAATTGTAAAGTGAATTACACTTATATATAAGCATCGTAGAACCGTAACTAAATTTACCGAACCAAAATACGGACACTTCTTCTAAAAAAACTGATCTTTCAATCGGTCCCGATCTAAAACCGATAGGACCATTTCATTGACGTATAGAAACCTCCATGATTTACAATTTTTTTTTATCATATAAACCTAAACACAATCAAGATTTTTTACATCTGGAAACGAAAAACGGATGAAGAAACTCCCGACACTTTGAAAGGTAATTTGTTGAGCAAAGATGAAGAAAATAAGTACCAACAACTTTCCAACGAAAACGACGAAATTTTGAAACAAATATCTGAAGTATGTATACAAAATTTACTATGTAAGAATGCTACTAGAAATCATCTATATTATTCGATAGAGTCCTTTTTAAGTTCAAAATAAAGGAATAATATTTTGAGTTTTTATATTAACTCAAAATAACGCGGAGTATTTTTAAAGATGTAATTTTGAATATCAGATTAAAACTAAGCATTTCCTTCCCTAAATAGCCTCACGGGGCGAATAAAAATCCATTCATGCAGATTGATTAATTTCGGAGCTTTATGAACTGTTTCTTACAGGAAAAATCAATGATTATATTTGAAGAATTTGCATAAGTTTTTCAGTGAAAGATTTTTAGGTGATTTTTAAGGAAGAGCTTAAGAAATTTTTTTTTATCATAAATTGATTTTGCTGATTAATAGATAATCTTGTCCCTAATATCTATTTCCACTTCGATGGGAATATTATCTACATCACTTGCTCTAAGTGATGATTTTTGTTAGCTTCGATGTGGCTAATATTGATAGCGGGTTTTTGTTATTAGCTATTCCCTCCATGCTATTTGCGATTAGATAATAGAGGGTGGCAATATTGTGTATAATAGGGTGGAAAAGTTGCTATTGGAAGTTTATTTATTGGAAATATAATTTCTCGGTGATCAGGAATATTGATGATTATTATTATTGCTAGAGGGAGCCTTGTTTTTGTATATGGCCTAAAATTCACAGTAATAACTAGGGATGAAAAAAAACAAAGTAAGAGATAAATATTTTTATTATAATTTTGCTGGTATTGTGCGCATTGGTTTCCATCTCATGTAATATATTGTTTATGGGTCTGGGAGGACTGTGATATTGTGAAAATGTCGGGTCTTGATAAAAAAAGATAGGTCGATATATTATTGTCAAAATTTTTATTAGTTATTGCAGTCAGTAAAAATAAGATTTTAATTTGTCAAAAAGATGCTATTCACATTGAGATATCGTCTATGATATATTTAGTTGATAACTAAAAATGTTGAATGTACTTTATAAGAAGTTTTGAAGTTACTTACTAATTTAGTTTAGATGTGTGTGGTTCGATTTAAACTCATTGAAACTAGCAAATATAAACCATCATATATACAGCGACGTTTTTCAAGTTCTTGAAATTTTATTTCAATATATTCAGAATATTGAATGATCATAAATTTTGCATGAAAAACGATGTTCTTTCTTTCTTAGTCATATCGAAATGGTATATAATATTTTTTTTAAAAAAACATTGGCTTAAGTAGCCAATGGCCATATCTAGAATTGTTTTAAAGAGGCACAATTTTTTTTAAAAAATAATTTATAACCAGACCCTCTTTTGGTTCAACCGGAAATCTAAAAATCGGATTATAATTTTTAGTCTTGAAAATCCGAATTTGTTGAAGAAAATAAATATGATTATAAAAGCTAAATTTCTAAAAGGCGTCCACCTGATTATATTTAAAAATTTCTATCTTTACGTTGAACAATTTAATCGCTCCTACTTTGCCGACGTTTCTCATTATTGTAGTAATATCATATAAAATATGCTTTTTAATGACCTTATATATTAATTTATTTTTTAGAAAGATGCGCAGATCCAACGATTGAGCGAAATGTTAAAGAAGAAACAAATGGCCAAATAAATGATATATTTTTTATAAAAAAAATATGTATTAATCTCGTATTATCCCCCCACCCCCATTATTTTATTTTTTTTTAGAAATCAAGAAAAACTTTTATTAATTTTAATTATAAAAGTTAAAACATTTTCGGATTTGAAAATTTTTATGGGATATTATGGAAAACTAATGCATGAAAAGTCAAATTATACTCCATATTTTTTAAATTTTATATTAAAACATAAAGTGCAATATCATTTTTTTTAAAAATTCCCTTCATGATCTCTTTAATATATAAAATTAAATTTAGTTAAATATTTTTATACATATTCCAAGAAAATTTTTATCCGGTAAATTTTTATATACATAAACTATATTCTAGTGCTAAATTTTGTCTATGTTTTGCAATATTTATATATTCTAAAATAAATTATATTTATAAATTTAAAATTCTTACATATTTATAATATATAATACAGTCATTGTCAAAACCCTTGATGTGAATTTTTATTTTCTTAAAATTTTAAGATCACGTCAATAAAGTTATTTTATTTAACTGAATAAATGATTTAATTACTATATATATCACATTTAATAAGGTTTTTATCTTTCAATATTTGATTAGATAAAGAATAATCCTAAAACAACCTATTTCTCCCAATTATGATTAATGGTAAAATTTAGGGATTCCATTTTTCTAGTGAACATATTTTGAATTTACCATTAAACCAGAAACTGGAACCATTACTTTTTAAAATAGGGTTAAAAACAGCAATATAGCGCCAAAAGGCATTTTAATTTATGCTCAATATGTTATAGTCTATTTTTGTTGTTATTTTAAATAATCATTTTATTGACCATTTTGTATTATTATTATATATTTCTTATATATATATACCCTCATTAGAAATAAGTATTCGAAATACATCGTCTGCTGCACTGTAAACCCTCATATCTGTCTTTTTCTCTAAAACTGACTTTTTTTTGTTGTGCATAAATTAGTTTATCAGACATATCCATTTAATTATATACCAAATCTATTGACTTAATAATAGGTATAATGAATCGATCGAAACCCGGGTTCGTATCCACAAAATTTACGAGTTACGAATTATCTTATTTCCTGAGAAAGTTAAGTTCAAGCTGACCCGTGCCGACTTAGCACGTGGCGGTGTTTATTTGCAAACGAAAGTTTTGTGCCCTATTGACGATCGTACGGTTATAAAAACATAAAAATGGGCTCCGACGATCAACTTATGTGTACATTAACACGAAAAAATATTGAGTTGAAAAAGTTAGATATTTTAGCAATGGGAAAATTATTAGCCTTGAGGGAAAATATTTTTATTTAGAAGATTTAAGATATGGCCAATATTATATAGGCCATTTCTAATCAGCATAAAGGATTTATTAAATTTTAAATATTTTGGACAGAACCTATTTACAATACTATGATAGCTAAAATTTATTGAAGACGAAAAAGAATATGTAATATTTGGTTAAAAATATTAGAACAATATATAGAAAATTCAGTTGGATTTGAATAAATGAGGTACTATCAAAAGAGATTTACATAATATAAAAATGAACATTTTTCATTCAATAATTCTGATGAGTTGTCATTAGTTAGCGCAATAAAAAAAAGACAGTCCGGATAATACAATTGAATTAGGAAGATGGGAACTTTAGAGCTCTTTATTTCCCAAACCCCTAAAATGAGGGAATTTTCATCTTTACCCAGATATTTGTAGGCAAATGAGTGGTTAAATTAGAAAGTTATTCTATAATAAAATAATATATGTACCCCATATATTAACATTAAAAAAATTATCTTTAAACCAGAGCTTAAATAAAAAATCATGAAGATGAAAAATAAAAGATTTTTTTAGAAGAAATTTGTGATTTTATTAATCATGAAAATTTTTTTAAAGCATAAAAATCAGAAGAGATTTACTTATAAAAGATTTTTTATGCAAAAATTTTTTTAAATATTTTAGGTTAAATTTCAGAAATCCTGTTTAAAGTATTCTCAAAATAACTACTTATTTCAAAAACCAGAGATCATTAAGTTTTAATATTGTGAAATTTGGCGGTCTAAAATTAGAACAAAACCATGGCCAATATTAGGGCATTGCCCATATCTAATATATATATCATCAATTAGCCAACAGCATCAGAACTTGTAGGTTCTTTATTTAACGAACAAAATATCAGTCCTGGACAGGACTAACAGATTGGAATTTTATATGGTTAACCATGGAGTTACTCTATAAAACAATGCTATTTTTTTAAATTAAAAAAAAATCAAATTATAATCGATTCATGATTAAAATTAGTGTATATTGTATGAATAATGTTTATTCATACATATGAAGCAGTCTAATTAAACTAAATTAACTATATTATAATACTTCTAATTTTCCTTGATTTATCTAGTTTATCCTCTCCCCCCCCCCTCCCAAGATATTATATTAAAATGTGATAAGATTGATAAACAATTGATATAATAAAAAATAGCCTATAATGGTTGTCATCAAAAATAAATTTTTATAGTTAAAATAACAAAATTTATTCTAAACATAGTATCTATAATTTATAAAAATTGTAAATATCGACATAATAAAAATAATAATTATATAAGTAGGCTTTACAAACAGTTGCATAAAAAAAATTGTCTTGATTTTAAAAAATAGTATAATTATATTAAAAATAATTAACATAAAATATTATTTATTTATTTTTATATTTATTAAACATCAAAAATTTTGTTTAATTTTAATATTATAAAAAAAAAGATATGTCAATAATTTTAATTTTAAAAATAAAAAATATGGAATTTATTCTAATAAAGATTTTTTAAAAGTCCCCCATAAAAAAACAATCAATTATCAAAATAATTTTATTGAAATATAGTAGAGTATAAACCCGTTTATAACGGCCTAAGAGGCCGGAAATATATAATATGAAAAGAGGGGGAAAACGTTAACTCGTTATAAGATACACCTTAAATTATATATTTCTTGGAAGCCGTTCGAAAAATGAAAAACGCTAAAAACTGGTAAAAAGGGTATTAAGGGGGAGGGGGGGTTTATTAACTATAGTTAAAAAATAATAATTCTAATCTCTTATTTAATCATATCATATTGGAAGAGAGACGAGTATTTTAAGTATTATTGATAATTTATGTCAATATAATTAAGTTTTTTTTTAAAAAAAAAGAATTTTCTATTTTTATTTGTTACAAGTATACAGCTAAAATGATTTTCGCTATTTAGTCACCACATCTTGTAAAGAGTAATCTGTCAATTTCCTAACTAAAATACATGAGTTATCTAAATAATTATAAGATCTATTAAAGCGTGGCCCGTTGATGGACAGCTTATCAAACTATTTCTCGATCGATGAACTTGACAGAATTCAACACATGATAAGTGCTACCGGATTCTAGTGTAGGCTGCATATCAAAGTTATGAGAACGAACCGCGTTGCCCGCTTCTAAAACATCGTAAGACAGTCGTTGTTGGGTTGCGGATTCATCACGAATGGGATTAGAATTATTGAAGACGTAATTAAATTGTTGGATGCCCTGATTGTTATTGTTGTTATTCACTACCACTATATCTTTATCATTCCCGAAATATTTTTTAGAGATTAAATGGGGGTTGAAATCATGTCGCTGGTTCAGGAGGGGGTTCGGGGAAATTAACAGGTTCTCATTCTCGCTACTAGAGAAATTGTAGCCCATGTTGTCAATGAGAACGGGCTTGTACATATTGTTTAGATTAGATAAACTGGCATCATTATTAATATGGGGTAAAAGATTTTTGTTTGAGGCTATGGGGAGGCAACTTGTATTACGTTGCTTAGAATTGACGGCATGAGGAAAGGGAATGTTAGGGTCATTAATGGAATCATTAGAATTTTTATCGTTGTCTAGAGCTATAATAAATAGTGGTTTTATCCGATAATTACCGTCCCCGTAGAGTTGGTAGCTTTTATTTTTTTTTGTGTTTAATTTTAGCTATTGTATTATTTAATATGAATATAATATTTTTTAATTTGTCTTACCATAAAACTTATATCTTTTAATAATTTAAGGCTGAAATGATGATTATTTTTTATTAACAAAAGCCAAACTTATATTTACTCTCTTTTAACATTGCCTTCAATTATTTTCGAACTTATAATTATTAGAAACGACAATGATTGGCGTCTCGTTAAAAGACATAAAATAAAAAAAATCTAGTTTTAACTAAAAAAAATAAAAACTCATTTACAAAAAGCCTAAATAGATGGTAACATATAATTTTAAATTTATTGGTAATAAATAACTCAAAAATCCGCTCCTAACACAAAAGTTTTGTAAATGTGGAGTGAAGCACTCCAAAATGGAAGAAAAAAATATTAGGTGTCCTATCTTAATTCTGAACAGACAGGCGCGTGTGTATTAGAAATAGTTATTAGTCCTAATAAATTTATTGTTAATATTTTTAAATAACAATAATATTTCATAAAAAATTTTATTATCCTTCCCCCCCCAGACCAAATTCCTGCGTACGCTCTTGTGAACAGAGAATTCTATTCCAGCTAAGATATTTTATTTTATTATTTTGGTTTATATTTTGAGTACCAAAATACACGATGCATTATATTTTTTTAGTCTAAAAAATCACATTCTATTCAAATATTTAGTGTTTTTTTTTAAAAAAAATTTGAATTTTATAATAATCAAGTAACACTTCAAAAAGATATAGATAAGAAGTTTAATACCGAAATCTTTGATTGTGATTGGTGAATTGATGTATAGTTTGCAAGTGACGACTCAATTTGTCAGAGCGCGAATATTTTTTCTCGCAAAGGTGACAAAAATATCGTAGCGTAGGAATGATTTTGATCTTCTATTATTTTTAAGGTCGTGAATAGGTATATTATTTTTAAAACAAGTAATAAAAGATCCCTAGTCTCTATGGATTTACATAGTTCAGTGTTGCAAGAGTATAAATATTTCACATGTTAAAACCTCGAGATGGAGATAATAGTAAACCCTGCGATATTATATAATAACCCGCTTATTGGATATGCGTTTATAAATTAATTGCTAGCATATTAAATAAAGTTAAGTGTAAAATTGTTCCTGAGAATAAATGAAAAGAAAAGCCATCATAAAAAATATGATGAAAAAAAACATTAAATATCTTAGGTAGTAGCATATTAACTGCTACAATAATTCGGTTGACATTTTCAATATGTATACCTGAATATAGAACTGATCTATATATTCTAAAGCTCTGCTAAGACCTATTTAAAATAAACCATAATAGTTAGGTCCAATTAGATATTTCTAAAAAATAAAAGGCCAGACTTAAAAAAAAAATTATGACAAATGAAAAGTGTCTCTCTTTTCCTTTTGGAACTTCGTTTAGACGCCATTTATCTACTAATAAAAAAATATATTATGACTCATCCGAATAAGACGTGAGATGATCCCTCCAATACTAGAGAGAAGGCTAATCAATATTATATTTATTATAGTTAGGAAAATTGCTTAATTTTAGACATTTTAGCAGGCTAAAAAAAAGACTAAACTTAGTTTCCAACCAAATACAATCACCTCCGCCTCGGCGATATTTTTTGAAAATAAAGTTTCGCTTTGAAGGATGAAGAAATAAATGAACTCGCGTCTCTATGCGGTGCGGATTTTATTTTTGGCACCCGTCTGTAGACTAAGCTGAATCAGCCATTTTTTTTAGCCATTACCCAACTATAATAAATAAAATTTATTCGTTTGTTTTAAAAAAAAAAACTTTTGGTGGTTTGGTGTTAGAAGAAGAAACGGACATCGAATTCGTGAGATTCGAGTTATCAACAACTTCGGAAGAAGTAAGCGGCGGAGGAGGCGGGTTGGATATTAAAGTTGGAATGGTCGAGACAACGTGTGTAGGATGTTCAAGCCTATAGTGCCTAGATAACACTAACTCTGATTTGCACTCAAATGGACACGGCGTTTGAGACTTATTGACTGATTTATTTATTTGTTTTGAAAAATTTATTAAATTGAGAATAAATCATTCTGATTAATATATCATTTTATTATTGAAAATAATCATTTGAAACTCGTCAAAGTATTATTCTAAAATTATGAGACCTTTATATAGCAGATTCGAAACGGGACACAAAATGTCTAATAAATACGTTTAAAAAAATCTTTGTTACCAATATAGATATTAACAATTAAACTATTTTAACCTAATACGGATGGCAATCTGCAATTAATATCATGGTAGTTTATATAAATAGTAAATGGACAAAATCTATTTTGACAAAAAAAATGTGTATCAAGCGGGAAATAGATACGATTTTGTAGTCATAAATATGCAAACAATTAATCTCGCCATTGTAAACGTTACTTTAAGCTCATCACTTTGCAAAAAAACAAAAAAGATTATTCAAATTTAAAAAATCGCTCCGAGTAAATAATTTAAAATTGAGATATTTAAAATTTCCCGAACAGTCACGTAATATCTTATAAAATTGAGTGAAATTTATAAGCGTTTTATTAATTCGCTCTCTCTTCATGATTAGGGAGATTATTTATTTATTTTTGAATAACGGTACTGGTTTATGTAATATATTCGCTCTTATTTATTTTGTTTTTTCCATTATTTGTGTTCGAAATTGTCATTTTGCTAATATGATTGGTTTTAACCACTATTATATTTTTATATAATTCAAATATAATTAACATATGTTATATTAATATAAGCCTACAAAATTGGATATATTTTAATTTTTAAAAATGGGCTTAAAATTATTTGAAGTTGGTAAATAAGCACAATCATTTGTTTGATGTGATTTTTTTTTACATTTTAGATCCTAAGCTAGACTGAATTAGTTAAGAATCTAGTCAACGAATTTTGGAATGTTATTTAAAAAATAGAGGAATAAGTAACGTTGTTAAATAGCCTGATTTGGGTCGATTTTTAAAACGGCTCGATTAAGATTTTAACCAAAATAATATTATGTAAGCCTCGAGATTTGCATAGCGGGTCAAACCTTTTTCCCATTTGTAAACAAATTCTCCAGGTTTACATGATATTATTTCGACTAGAATCTTAATCGGGCAGTTTTTTAAAGACCCAAATAGGCTTTTTTTTAACAATGCCATAAGGGAATAAAGAAAATATGTTTTACAGGACGAGATAGATATAAAAATATACCATATCATAAATAATAATCGAACAATAAAAAATGGTCGTTCTAACCCTCGATGCTGGCGGTACATCTGAATATTTCATTGGTTTTATCTTGACCGTGAATTATTTCAAAGTGTTTCTGAGCGTCGTACCTGTTCAAATTTTTAATGAATTAAAATATTTCGATAATGAAATCGAAAAATCGATAGGTCAGTAACGATTAAACCTGCTTACAAGGTAACTGATTATCCGAAATAATATTCTCGTCTTAGATTTTTGGAGTCTTACTCCCTTTAAATTACAAATTTACACGGGTGATGAATACCCAAAAAATGATTCTTTAGCAATAATTAGCTACGGGAAACTCTATTAAATAGTCTAACTTAATGGTTTCTTTTTAGCTAAAAGGCCTTTGAGCTAGTAAACCCCCTATTTTTGGTTTGTTTTAAGTATTTAGTGGCATTATTTTTCATAATTTATTCATTTATTTTTTTTTTGGTTATTTAGTCAATACTAAGGTCGACTAAGTACACAGCCCTAAGGATTTATTTTAAGCGCAAAATTAAATGTTAAATATTCATATATATAAATTTTTTTAAACCTAGATTTCGAGGTGATGTCACAACTTTGGCATTTAAAAGGGCGATGTTCTTGGTGCTTGTAGTTTATGTGCTTCTTAACGTTACCCGGCGTGGCGAATACGAAAGGACAGAAAGGGCATTTGTATGACGATGCTTCATTTATTTCATTTTTTTCGCATTAATTTAAAGAGAAAAAAATATAACTTATAACCCATAATCCCCAAAAATTAAAAGCTTGATAATTTTTTCTTATAAAAAGGGTCAAAAAAATATTATATATTCAATTAAATTTTTTTATATAACGTCATTACTATGATGCTTGCAGTGTATTTTCAGAATCTTTTGAGACGCGAAAGGCTTTTTGCATAACTGGCAGCGAAATTTTTGATCTTTAAAATAATAGCAAGTTTTATTGAAACCCCAATATCTCATTTTAATTCTTTTTAAAAAAAAACAACACTGCACCATTTTACCCCTTAAAGCTGGGACTTCAAATTTAAGATAGCGATATTATTCTTCTTTCAACAATGGTTGCTGTTAGTTATAAGGGAGGGGGGGAAGGGGGAATGGAAGGTTACGTTTTGACTAGTGATTCAAAATCGTTTCATTTCAGCCGATTTTTTAAAATGGCTAACTCAATATTTTAGCCAGAAAAATATTGCCCAAGCCTCTTCGCTAATAGATGTAACCTTTGTGCCATCAATGAGCAGAATCTTCAGGCTCGCTCAATATTTTTCTGGATAAAATACTGCATTCAGTATTTTATAAATTAAATGGAAAGATGCGTCACTACTTCCGACCATCTCAATATAAAAATCTTCAGGTTATCGTAAAATTTTATGAAGATCTCTGTAATATCCTTATTTCCCTACCCACAGAGTGTTTCTGGAACCTTCCAAGGATCCCCCAAACAAATAAAATATTTTTTTAAAAAAGAATCCTTCTTGAAAAGAAAGTGAAATTATTTTTTTTCCTCTTTTACTTTCTTCCGTGACTTGTCTCATGATGTGCTCCGAAAATTTATTTTTATTGGCATATAAGGATCCGCATGTAGGACAGGCTATCGTTTTTTCGTGAGTGTGAGTTCGCATATGCTCTTCTATTTTTGTTTTGTACCTATACTGCAAATTGCAATCTTGATATGATTTATTTTATTCATTTTTTTTTCATATGATATTTTTGTTGTTGTATAATTCTTATCTTTCATTTATAAATTTCCATTTTTAAAAATAAATTTCTCTATTTCTTTCCGTGGTGTTTATATATATATATCAAAGCACTGCTAGGGTTTATGGATCAAACCATAAAAATTTTTTAAAAAAATAATAAACCCGTGCCTCATATATCAATTAATAAGTTGGAAAATCTTTCTTCAATTCTCTCCTTTCTTTCTTTCTTTCTTTCTTAGTGGAGTGTTAAATATTCATTCACTGCTCATTGTTTTCAATTTTACCTTTTACATTCAAAAATAACAAAATTTAAAAAATTCTGGATTAAGGCTGGGCAATATGTAAAAATGGTTAAAGGTAAACATCTAGGCTAAAAAAAATATATGCTGGGACAGGTTTGAAAACGGATTTTTTTTCAAATAGGCCGGGATATAGATTCCTTCTGATTCTGATATATATATAATAGGTGATAAGAAACACGACTTGGACAATTATCAAATCCCTTCCAGGAGTTGGACAGGTCCTTAAAAAAAAGAAGATAGATTCAGATTTTTTAAAATGTACCATTACAAGTAATATTAAAAAATATCAAAAAGATATGTATCTTTTGCTAAATAAGAGTATTTTAGATGCCAGATACTTGGTATGAAAAAATTTATCTATTCCTTCTGCACAATTAGACATAAAGTTGATGAGGAGGTTTAAATAATCTAGTGGTTCAAAAAAAAATAGCTATGAATGAATTGTGTGTGACCCAACATTTAAAAATAGAGATAGAGAAATCTATGAACTATCTACCTATAGAAATACAAATGCTATAAAATATATGAGTATTAATTGTTTCAACAAGATGAATGATAAATTCCAAATACATAACATCAAATTCTATGGTTTATTCTTCTAGAGGAACTATTTTCGAAATTTTATTTAGAAATTTTTTAAAATTATTAGACATTAGTAAATAAATGATTTTTCGATAAATCCTCATGGAATCATTTATATAAATATAATTTTAAAACCAAGGGGCATCATTATGAAAAAAAACTTTTTTTAAACACAATCAAAAAATATAAATTAACCAAATATCAATATTTATATAATAATATCAGGTATAATTGAAGATTATTATTAAAGATCAAATTTTTTTCATGAATAATTTTTTATATATAAAAATCACAAAAAATATTTTTACAAAAAAATATATGGAATTTTTAGTAAAATTTGATCAAAAAATACTAAAAGCCAAAGAAAGAGATCAAAATCTTTGAGAATTTTTTATTTTTGCACAAATATTAAACTCTGGCCCAAAGATAATTCAAAAATATAGGCCAGTGAAATTTTAGTAAATATATTTTCTTCCATTCCAATAATAATGAATAATAATTTAAATTATAAAGAAAGGAAATGAAGCGACAAAATTAAAGAAATTTTAATACGATTCACAAACTTTTGAAAATTTATAGAACTAAAAAATAAAAATATATCCAAAATAGAATTCTAGAAAATTTAAAAATTTAACATAAAATTTCTTTAATATTTCAAAACTTCTAAAAGTTTTAAAACAACTGAAATTTTTAGCCTAAACAAAAATTTAAAAAATATTTGTAACTTTTGTCAAGAAAATGAAAACAAGATTTTATTAAAAATGTCAAAAAGATACAAGCACTAGATACAAGAATATATCTTAGATACAAGTATTTGTGTTACTGTCTAACTCTGATCCAATCCCAGAACTGTAGCAGATTCTAACTCTGGAACTGGCACTAAATTCTTTTCTTTTTTTATAAAGGGTTTATTTTTAACATATTACCTTTCCAACCACATATGAATTTGGGTGGGTTATATTTTTCAGCTTCTCCCTCAAGATCGTTCAAATGGTATTGAATGTGCATGTAAAATAAAAGGTGATCTTCAGTTTTGTACTAAATGATTTTTTTCACAATATGTAATTATAAAAAATAAAATACATTAGATGAATTGCTTAAATTTTAGAAGATCAATATATTGATATCTAAAATATAAATATAGGGCCACTGACTAATTTTCTGATACAGCTAAATTTAATTAAAAAATGTCTTGCTCAGTTTTGATAGAGAATATTTAGGTCTTTAAATTAAATAAAGGTTTAGCAAAAGGAATATCATTAATAAAATAATATATTACCTCACAGTTTACCCATTGGCATACAAGACGGTCTAATGGCTCAGGTAATATATTTGCACTAAATGGATCCAAATTACACATTTGATCATTTAATTGCAATACAGTTTGCCCAATAGATTTTAATTTAGAATGAAAGGCATGGAATAATACATGTCTGACAAACTCAGATGTTAGCTTTGTAGCAAAATTACAATTTCGCCATAGGCATGTATATTCTTAATTAAAAATATTAATTACATTAATAAACATATGATCTTACCTGATTGATAATCTTTACTGCAATTGACAATTTCTTTATAATCGATAACAATTTCAAAGATATGCGATTTGACGTGGATAAAAAATGGATTTAAATCATTATAATTTTCCTTACACGCATTCCATTCACAATCCAGATTAAATTTAGCTACAAACCGTTTTGATCTTACATTGTCCATAAGATTTATTTTTTATTTTTAAGAGTGAATGTATCATAGCTTAGTACCCAGCCTGATTAATGCTATATGGTGCCGAACATATATTGAAATAATCATAGTTTTATTTGCCAGAAAAATGATTGTAATATTTTGGTTATATATAGTAATGGGCATGTAATAAATATATTGATATATAAACATATGTTTAATGCCCTAATCTTCCTAAAATTATTTGCTATCCGGTGATGATATAATAATCAATGAATTTTTTAAATAAGATAAAACTTAGTTTGTATTGAGTTCCATACCTTATTTTTAATTATACATTTTATATTATTCAATCTTTTATCTTTTTAATCTATATTTCCTTAAAAAACAACATTATTTAATTATTTAATATATTTACGCCATCTAGCGTATATATTTTAATTATACTTCAAATATATATTAACTAATATTATTATTAATATTTAATTAATGAAAATCAAAAACTCATTTATTATTTCATTCTAAAGTTACTATATTTATTTTATTAGATTTATTAAAAATTATATTTGATAACTTAGATATAAAATTTAATCTTTTATAACACTTGCAATTACATACAAATATTATATAATAAATATCAAAATTTTTCATAATAATATTTAGTCTCAGATTCTTCGCAGAACGCATAAATCTTTCGCCTTTTACTAAAGATTTCCGTGCGAAGGATCATAAATGAGTTATTTCATCTATTGAAAATTTTTTTTATCCCCTTTTTAAGGGGAAACAATTTTACAAATTAATTTAGATACTCGAAAAATCATAAAATAGAGTTTATTGACTCTTTTTTCTTAGTTAGCAAAGCTCAACATTTTTTTAAAGAATTAGGTAAATGGATCCGCGAAAAAACCAATAAGCCTAAGGACTCCCTCTTCTTACGTCAAAAACTTGCTACCACCTTTATTCGCTCTAACTATCTAAGTTTTATTTCTTCCATTGAATAAGCTTCCATATTCCTAGTTTCCTTTCTCGTAAACTCTATTTCTACATTTTTTATTAATTTTACCTTTTAAAAAATTAAATATTTGCTATTACATTTTGACAACATATTATATCAGTAAATATTTAAATAAAGTAACCTATGATCGGAAGAAAAAAAATTTAGCGATAAAAGTTTTAACAAATTTTTTCTGGTTATCCATGAAATTAACCGGTTTTGCAAAAAAATTAAACTTGAAGATTTTTTTTGTCGCTCATGAAAATCTTCGGGAACTAACCAAACTGAAGATTTAGTTATTATAAATAATTAAGATTGGGCAATATGGTTGTTGAACTGCTCGATTTTTGAGATTATAAATTAAAATGTTAGCCAAAATAATATTACCTATGAATCGAGATTTTGCTAATAAATGCCCAAACCGTTCTACCATTGGTGAGTAAAATCTCCACGGTTGCTTAATATTTTTTGACTAAAATTTTGGTTAATCTTTTTTTAAAAAAAAATTGAGTCGTTTAACAACACTAATGGATGCCATCCTATTGCACTTCCGATCCTTAAAAGGTAGCCAACCTAGGCATTGCAGGCAAAATATAATATCCAAAGTTCTAAGAAGCAACATACCATGCCCCATTTAGCTTTAGATCTCGATATTTTAGATGTAAGAGGCATTCCATTACACTTGAATAAACCTATTCGCGAAATCTAACACCCACAAAAACTCTCTTTCGGTAGCGGAAATAAAAATTAAATAAATATTCAGAGCTTAACAATATTAAATTCGTTTCTGTTGTCAAATCTGCCCTCGGAAAATATGGCCACGAGGCACTTTTTTACCAGAAGGAGATAGGAAGAAAAACAAAGTTTTATTTATAATTAGATAAAGATTTTTTTTATGAAATTAGATGTATATTTTTTTTAAATAAAATTTTTTGATTTCATTATAGAAGATGTTTTATGCATATTTGAAATTTTAGGCAAAATTTGATCAAAAATTTTGAGCATTCTTAATTTTTAAAAATCTTCATTTTTCTTAATCTTCAAAAAGCCAAAATCTTTGAAGATCATTTTATTTTAAGCAGTAGGAACCCTGGAAATTAGAGCCCAGCTCATATCTGTTCAAATTTTGTTCGATCCTATCAAACTTGGATCAGTCGGATAGACAATTTGTCACACTCGGTCACTGAATTTAAACTTTATTTCGAACTGAACTTGGACCTCGGCAAATTATTATTTTTTCCTGACCATTTTTTGAATATTATTTTCAAAAATAACACAAACTATTTTTATTTTAACTTTTAGAATTTTTTTCCTGTTGAAATATGGTTACCTTTTTAATAGTTTTCAATAATAAAATTCAATCAGATTCAAGTCTTCTAGAATAGAATCGAACCTGATAAGTATTTTAAAACAAAAACTCAAAACATTTTGCTAATTTATGTTATTTTTTAAGCTTTCTATGGCATGATTATGATAGCTAAATAGGAATATCAAAATTTTTTGTTTTATCACAAAAATGATCTATTTTTTGATTGATAATGTGGTCAATTTCTTAGATACGCTAGAAGACTGGTTTAAATTTATTCAGCTTCAGTTTAAAGGTTATGTGTATCACGTAAGATATATGTACCTCATATTAAAAAGTTAAGTGTAGGATGCACAACTTGGTTAAATAATCTGTGCGAGTTGGTTTCTTGTATACAATATAGCTTAATTATTACTTTTTTATAAAATTTCTAGCTAATAATAATAGGTATTTGCTAATTAGAGAATATCGCCTATTAAAATTTTCTGCATATATAAAAGGCTGGATATTATTTGCATCCGTAAAATAATTTATGGCTTTTAATATTCTCACCATAAAAGACTTCCTAATCAGAATTATAATATACATCTATATTTTATAAATTTTTAGCAAAATCATTATTAACAATTTCACCACCTTGAACATGTGAATCTAATATGACCTTTTTTGTTCTCCTGCTACACATATTTAACAAAGTATTGAAAAATCAATAGATTCTTTAAAAATATTAGAAAATGATCACCCGTTTTGCTAATATTAAAGCATCAATAATCTATATTGCAAATATTTACAGAGGATAAAATTTTCTCGAAATAAAAAGACATAATATAAGTGTCAAATATTTGTTATTAAGGCTTTAACTCTTCTATGTGATATATGTCACCGTTTGTTTATAAAAATTATAGAAGGAAACGTTCGTTTAACTTATCTAATTGCATTTAGCATCCCCAAAGAATGGAGCGAAATTCGTCAATCGTTTAAGCCCCTAAATCTTTTGGTAATAGGATAATTTTTCAAAATGTGTAACTGAATTATAAAAATTTTCTAAAATATTTAAAAAATTTCGAACTAAGAATCATATGAAACATGTTGATACAACAACAATATTCAATTTAAGAGCATAGCAATGAAAATATAAAGCCATGTTTATGCCCTTGATTTCTAAATTGTTTTGTACACCTGAAAGATGTCCCTCCATGACATTATATCATCGCTTTGGGTGATACAAACATCCTGAATTTTGATATCCAGGAGAGTGTTTGCTATAGTACATGTTAAAGAGCTGGCATTTAATTTATATAATCTTCTAACACCTATAAACAACTTGTATTCACATCTTTAACCTATCTTATAGATATTCTAACTGTTCATGGTGATTACAATCTCTTGCAGAAATGGACATTATAAAATAATAATCAGAGTCATTTATATTTTTTATTATTTGTTCAATAATATGATTGAAAATGATAGGAATTAATTCGTTTTGTTTAGAAGATGAATAATGAGTTTTCGAAGGGATAACATAATTATGTAAAAAATTATTATCCATCTTAAAGCTTGAAAGCTTGAAATATTTCAAATTTTCCTTTATTGATATTATCTATTTTTTAAACTATGATCTTTTAAAGGTAATTTGGGTTTAGCATTTAATATAATAGTTTATATGACACGTTATACTTATTTTTAAAAAATATGGTGATGGTATTTGAAAAATTGCATACTAAGCCATTTTCCAAAATTAGTTCTAAAAGGGGGTACTTAAGCAACCAAATTACAAATAACGCACCTGCATTATATGGACTAAGAAATCTTTAGGTATAATTGAGGTGGAAATGGTAATTGCAAAGAAATTACCTTTGTTTACTTTCACCTGTAAAATTATGTTAAGATTGAGTGGAAATATTTGCACAGGTAAAATTCCGTGCTAAATATTTACTTCTTCAATCAGTATGTATAGCAACTTTCAGCCCTTTGGAGAAGGAAAAAAAATTGTTAGGGAGAGAGCTTAGCGCACCAATTCCCTTTGGCCCAAGACTCGGTAGCAATTTTTTTAAGATTTAGGCCAAGCTAGTATTGATGAAAGGTTTCGTTTTTATAATTCTGTATTAGATTTGGAGTCGTAAATGTGAATTTAAAAATGAACAGCTTAAGAGCCGCAGGAATCAATTCGATGGGTCGGCTCCAGAGTTGGTTCTTTGAGTTAGCTTTAGAATTGGTCGATGAATCTATCCCTAAAGCAAAATATCTGATTACCTTAATCAAACTGTTGTCAGTAAAGAACCTAATTACTACTAAGGAGCGTGAAGTCATTCGTGATTATTGTAAGTGTGAAGAATCTCTTATTCTACAAAGGTTGGAAGCATTAATAGTTGAAACCGAGTGGTCAAAGATTCTTTGCAGGAGAGGCCAACAAAATATTTTTAAGCAGTATTGGATAAAAATTTATTATTTAAATGGGTCTCATCTGACCAAGATTGATAACATGACAATATCTAGGAGATTATCCTGCTATTTGATAAATCTAACAAAAAGGGTAGGCCAATGATTGGAAGCTTGAGAAAGCAAAAATGGAAAGTAGTATAATGCCTAAACCACTTATATTAGAAGAAAAGGTGGATATCTGCTAATTCCTGTCAGTCAGATTTAGGTGATAATCCGCTAAAAAAATATTATTTTCGAAAGCTGCAAATTACTAAAAATTTGTAAAACTGGCGGGGTACAAAATATGTGTGA